GTGATTGAATCATCAATTCAAGCCAAACATTAATCAAATAGGAACAATTTCACTCAAAGTATACCTAGACACAGGAGAACTATTGTCGTGAAAGTGTTGTACAGTCGATTACGAATTTAGATTGCAGTGAGTTTGTTCTGAGCGCTAAAGGCACTCACGATAGAGCACATTTTGCTTTATTCTAACAACCCCATGGCGCTCACAACGTTGGACGCAGCCCAATGGCAGGATATTATATCCCCTGTTCTGCAAGTGTGCTTGCCAAAAGCAGGAGTGTGTAGAACCTTCCCACAATCGGTGGTTTTTGCTCCTCCACTGAACTTCCAGGGACTAGGAATTCCCCATCCGTTTGGTTGCCAAGTCTATAAGCACCTTGAAATGCTACTCCGTCACATGTCCAATCGGACCAAGACCGGGGCGTACATGGACGCTAATATCCAGGCTCATCAGCTAGAAACAGGCACGTCCTTTGGCATCATTCAACAAGTCTACAGCAACACCGCTATCTCGGCTTCCGATACTTGGTTAAAACGGGTGTGGAAGGATTTTGAGGACTTGGACATGTACATCGCATTTGATTCTCCGGCCCTGACGCTCCGCTGCCAGCACGACGCACTTCTGATCGATCTCTTCCTGAAATTGGAAGTAGACCAGGACGAGCTGCTCTGGCTTAGCTGGTGCCGGATGTTCCTACAAGTCTGCACTGTGTCGGACATCACCACTGCCGATGGGCGTTTTATTCGCCGCGCCATCTGGGATGGCCTTTGTGATGGCACCGTCCGATCCCCTTACCAGTGGCCACGTACGGTCCGACCAACTCGGCAACACTGGGAGCTCTGGCAGACTACGCTATCTACTGCTCTTCTATCCTTGCATGGGCCTCGCCACTCCTTACGCCAACCGCTGAGTCCCTGGTCTGATCCTGTGGAGAACTGGAACTGGCTATGGTCTCCCACTGTGGGCCTTTTTCATCGTACAGGTGCCACTTGGGAACACTTCGCCGCTGTTGGCTCGGCTTCCACCTCTCGCCGCTACGCTCCGTCTCGAAGTCACACCACCTCCGCTCCATCTACCGCTTCGCGTCCGAATAAAAGTCCCTGGTGGATGGGACCACCTCCGTCCGTACCCTTCAAGACTATGACCCGGTTCTCCTGACAGGCACCGGCTGTTCCGCGCCACACAGGCCTAGTCCCCGTCCTTCTGTTCTTTGAGCCTGGCAGGATGCCACTGAACTTTGTTTGGATTACTATGGATGGGTTCCGGACGAGATTGAAATTCAAGGAGACAAGAATAGTCTTGCTGCCGCCCTGGTCCAGGGTCGTTTACAAGTGATCAGTGATGGGTCCTTCAAAGACACACTTGGAACTGCAGCAATTCTACTTTTGACTAAGTCCGGCTCTGACCGCATCATCATCCGCTGTCAGACGCCGGGCCTTCCCCATGATCAGAGTCCTTACCAGATCGAACTCATCGGTCTCCTTGCTGGCTGGTATCATGGCTGTCGACTGGCTTCTACAGCAATGGTTCCCTGACCTACGACAGTGGCCACGGGTGAGGATTGCGTGTGACGGCCTTTTGGCCATTGAAATGGCCTTGGAAGATCGCCCTCTCTCCCCCACGGACATGCAGTTTGACTTGGTCTCAACCATCCGGGAAGCCATCGCTCGCACGTCGGTGTCCTGGTCTCCTCAGTATGTGTATGGCCACCTCGACAAGACCCTTCTCTTTGAGGAACTGACTCGGTGGGAGCAGAAGAACCTGGAGGTCCATGGACTGGCTGTGGAGTTTCGCAAGGAGCTCAAGGTCAATCATCAGCTGATTGCACCGGGGTTCTTGAACTCTCAAGGCAAGAATAGTAATCGTTGGATGGATATCCAAACGAGCTCTCTTAGAGACATAAAGTCCCCTTGCAACAGTAGTATGAAAGATTTGATGGTACTCAGCATTGAGTACTTTCCTTTCCCAGCCTCCAGTAGATTGTTACCAGCTGGTGTTTCCTGCTTTGAATCCTTGTTGAACTTGATAGGAAAATCTTCCAACATGTTCTTGACATAGTCGTCCATGCGGATTTTGAGTTTTCCTTTCACCAAGAAATCCAAAGTCATTCCAAGATATCTGTGTATCTTTCCTCTGA